CTTTTACTGCCCCTCACCCATTTACTTGCATGTATCACATTTTCAATAAAAAGGCACGATGATTCCTAGCAGTTGTCACTCCTCAGAGAGCGATCTTTGAGGTGTGTCCGGCATAGGACGTGCATGAAAGCATCGAGGTCTCTGTCTTCTGTTCACCTTCGCCGCCTCCGTCGAGATAACCCACCCACGCCGAGGCTGGACCCTGGCAGCACACGTGTGGTTTTTGGAGAGGTTTTTGCTATAGGGCACGTGAGCTCACCAGAAAGAGAGACACAGAGATAGAAAGTGAGAAATCACCCCCCAGGGGGGGATGGCCATGCCACAATCCCTCCTCCATTCTCCTCTCAGGATCTTGGTACGCACATACACGTGCACGGCATGAGTTTAAGCCACCGGGTCCAGGACTCGAACTGCAGTCGACTACGTGGGAGTTCAATGACATAGCCATTATGTTAACTGCTGGTCCCTACATGTGGTTTTTTAAAGGAGATTTTTCTATAGGAAGCGTGTGCTTGCCAGAGAGAGAGAGAAACAAAAAGCGAGAAGTCACCCCACAGGGGGTGACCATGCCATGATCTCTTCTCCATTCTCCGCTTGGGATATGTGCCTGATGTGAGTTTTAAGCCATGGGGTCCGGGACTTGAACCGTGGCCGACTACGTGGGAGTCCAGCGATGTAACCATTACGCCACCTGCTGGTTCTGTACCTGTGTCCTTTTGAAATACACATGACAGAGTTCCTTCAGGCCCCTCTCCCCTCCTCACTTGGAATTCTATCGTGTCAAGAGTCAGATGCTGGGACCAGCAGTTAGCGTAATGGCTATGTCACTGGACTCACACGTAGTCGACCGCGGTTCGAGTCCCGGACCCGGTGGCTTAAACTCACACCGGGTGCGTGTGCGTGTGTGCCTAAGATCCTGAGAGGAGAATGGAGGAGAAGGGATTGCGGCATGGCCATCCCCCCTGGGGGGTGATTTCTCGCTTTCTGTCTCTATGTCTCTCTTTCTGGCGAGCGCACGTGCCCTATAGCAAAAACCTCTCAAAAAAAAAAAAAAAGAATCAGATGCTGCAACTGTCACTTGTCCCCACACTCAGGACGAAGGACACCAGCCTGCAGTGAGCTGGTGCCTCCATGTCCAGGGCTGTAGGTGTTAAAGATGGGTGGGTCTGCCTGAGGCAATGCTGCTTGGTTTTGCCTAAGAATGTCCTCCTGGGTCAGCAGATGGCGTAGTGGTTATGTCACTGGATTCCCACATGGCTGACCACAGTTCGAGTCCCAGTCCTGGGGTCTTGAAACTCAAGCTGGGCATGTGTGCATGCATGCCTAAGATCCTACGAGAAGAATGGAGGAGAAGGGCTTGCAGCATGGCCAACCCCCCGGGGGTGAGGTCTCACTTTCACTCTCACTATCTCTGTCTCTCTCCAGTGAGTGCGCATGCCCTAAGGCAAACACCTCTTGAAAAAAGAATGTCTTCGATCCCCTCATTCCTGAAGGACGGTTCAGACAGAACTTGTGACTGGCCCATCTTTTTTTTTTTTTTTAGAATTTTTTTAAAATTTAACTTTATTATTATTCTCATTATTATTTTCCAGTTTGATCCGAGAGAGACAGAGAGAGAGAGATGATCTGAGAGAGACAGAGAGAGAGAGGAAGGGAGGAAGCAAGCTACCAGGTCTGAGACTTGAACCATGGTCGGCCATGTGGGAGTCCAGAGCCTTTAACCACCATGCCACTTGCCGGCCCCATGACTGGCCCATCTTTGGAACACCTGTCCCATCTGCCTTGGGCGTCCGCCCACTGTCCCCGGGGTGGTGACCGCAGGCTGCCATGCGGGGTCCCCTCCACCCTGTTTCCAGGAGTTCAGTTCGAGGTGCCCACGCCCTTGGGCATACCCTGCGGGGTCCACAGTATCTGTTGGTCTGTCCTTGCCAGGTCCCGCACGTCTTTGGCTACGGCTCGCTGGACTGTCTTCCAGCCCGTTTCTGTCCTTCTGTCCTCTGTCCTCTGGAGTGGTCGGAGGCAGAACCTTTGGTGGTTTCTCTCCGCCGTCAGACGGGCCGGCCGCCACTCGCTCGCCTCGACTTCCCGCCAGCCACGCAGTGAGGTTCTCTTTCTTACTTTCGCGATTAGGCTTTCCAGCTCTGTTCTGTCCACCGGCTTCTTTTCAAAATCCACGCTGTCTCTCTTCGCTGAATT